GTCAAAGAACTGATATCCCAACTATCCTCTGTCAACCTGGGAGCCTAACTAGAAGACCGCAAGACCAGAAGACTAGAGGACCATATTTATGTCACCATATATTGTTTGTATGATTTGTTTTGAGTCTTGTTTGTTGTTGTTGTTGTTTTGTTTTATTTTGCTTTCGCGTGCACTCTATATTTAATGGTGATGATGTCTTTCCAGCAATCAGAGTCACTGTCACTTGTCACTTGTTTGTTGGTTTGTTTGTTTACGGTTTTCTAACTAGGACTGAGGAAGGGGCTTTGATGCCCTCCCCCAAATATGTCCAAATATCGTATATTAACATCAGTAAAATTCACAATTTGAAAAACAACCCTTCTACAAAGTGGTTTTCACGCCAACATAAAAATCCTCGAAGAGTGAAATGTCGTACCAAATTTGTTTTAGATAAATTTTGAGTTAAAGTCACCAAATGCGAGCTCCATCACTGCAACGCTTTTAAAAGGATATTTTCACAGTTCAGCGCGGCCTAAACGTTTTCGTTTTCTTACTGAATGTAGTTCAGCAGTCACAGGGCACAATTTGGATAAACCGGCAAAATGACTGATGACCAAATTGCGCGAAATGACTTAGAAATTGTCGAATTTAGTAGAAATTTAGAACATGAACATGCGCCAGGCGATCGAAGTTGGTGAGGTTAACAACTGCACCACCACCCCCACCCCCCGGCTTTGTTTTTGTTTTTTTTTTTATCTCAACTGCGCTACCAAAAGAACTAGCCAGAGCAATATTCACGTTGTTGTTTTGTTTGCAATATAGATGTATGTTGAGCTCTACGGACCAACAACGCGAAATCAACTGAACTTTCCGGCCGTGGTTTATTTACGATTGCGCCACATGAGCGCTGCGTACTTTAGAGATGCAAATGGTTCGACCAAGGAATTTCGTCAGCCATTGGGAACATCGCGAACATTTCAGTTTAACCGTTTCGCGATCACCACAAGATGCAATGAGGAGAAGCTGCAGGGTAACAGTGAGTAACTTTAATGTATTCCAGTTTAGTCATAATTTGTTTTCTCTAGCTCTAGGAGTAATAGTCGGTAATGCATCTAGATCTGTGAGGGCTTCCAAAAGGCCTGGGGTAGCATGTGTTCCTTTGATCCCTTGAAAATGTCACTGACTTTTTCTCCCTTATCTCCTATTAAGAGCGTAAATCCGAAAATATCGAGAATCGGCCGACAGAAGCGAAATAACGGATTTTTCTTATTTGACCAAAAGAACCCATTTGGTTAACTGTTTTCGGAAATGACATTAAAAGATTCGATGTCCTTTTCTTTTCTTCAAAATTTGCAAAACTTGAAAATTCGGCCACAGGGCTTTCAGCGGCGGCCATGAGACTTGAAATTTGGCACATGTTTAACATACTTGTATGGACGAACCAAACGTTTTCTTAACATGTCCTTTACACAGTTTGTGGGGCATCTCTTAAACTTTTCTCGGGACTAAA